GGCACAGGACCGCGGTATAGGCAGCCACCACCACCACCTCCACCACCACTTCAGGTACCGGTTACACTGCCTGTTGTTCAGTTGCCGATGTCGTTCGCGGTCGAGGAGAGTGGTAACAAACGCGAGTGGATGCCTAAGATGGATTTTTCGAGGTTCGATGGTTCTGATGTGCGGATTTGGTTGGATAGATGCGAGGCTTTCTTCCAGTTATATCACATACCTGAAAATTTCAAGGTTACTTCTGCTTCTCTGTACCTGACGGATAATGCTGCACATTGGTACCAAGCGTTCAAGCAGACTGCGGCATTCCATACTTGGGAACAATTTTGTGAGGCCATTATGAAGGAATTTGATGTGGACGTTTACCGTCAGAAGATGAAGGAGCTGATGCTACTCAAGCAGACTGGTACTGTCGAAGAATATAAGCACCAGTTCATGCACTTGGTGTATACGGTCAGGTTGTATGAGCCGACAATCAGTGACACATTTCTGATCACTCGATTTGTGATGGGACTGAAGGACGAACTTCGAGCTGGGGTAGAAGTTCAGATACCTTCTACAGTACAAATGGCTGCCCTGTATGCCTCAGTTCAGGAAGGATTATTGCTGCAACAAAAAACTCCTAAGCCACCTTTCTCCAAGAGTTCATACACAAAGACTGACAGTAAACCTTAGCTGGCCACAGGTGACTTGTGGAAAGCAAAACAGCTCAAGGAGTACAGACGTGCTAATGGGTTATGTTATAAGTGTGGAGAGAAATTCATGCCAGGTCACACGTGTAACCAACCCACTATTCCAGCAGGTCAACTCAAGGCTGCAGAAATGGTGGATCCTCATGAGATTATCTCTGATGCAGTGTTTGATGCTCTTGTGACAAATGGTCATGAGGAATGTGCAGCTTTATCAGCAACAGCATTGTCAGGAGCACCTCACCCCGGAACAATTCAGTTGAGGGCATTGGTTGGAAATCAGGCTATTCTCATTCTAGTAGATTCAGGCAATACTCACTCATTTGTGGATCAGGCTCTGTTGAGCAGAATTTCTGTGACTACAGCAAAGTTACCTATGCCAATGCAAGTCAGAGTGGCTAATGGAAATCTGGTTAGGTGCACTGAATGTGTCCCTCAATTAACCTGGTGGTTGCAAGGGCATAGTTTCACCAGTCCTATGCATGTTTTTCCCCTGGGTGGTCATGACATTATTCTGGGTATAGATTGGCTTGAGCAATGGGGTGTTATGCAGTGTCACTGGGCAGCGAAGTGGATACAATTCCAATATGAAGGACAAGAGGTCAGGCTACAAGGAGTGTTGCCAGGATAGCAAGACCATATTGAGGAAATATCAGTTGAGCAATTAATGAAATGGGAAAAGGGGAATGATGTGTGGGCAACAACACTTCTGAACCGCAATTTTATGGAACCTGCTGTAGAAATTCCTCCTGCAGTGCAACAGATCTTGGATAGAAACAAAGAAGTATTTCAAGAACCAAAGACACTTCCTCCTCACAGAGCCCTGGACCATGCAATCCATTTGAAACCTGATGCTGTACCAGTAAACTGTAGACCATACAGGTACTCTCCTCTGCAAAAAGATGAAATAGAGAGGTAGGTCTCTGAAATGTTACAAGCAGGGCTGATTACTCCCAGTATAAGTCCTTTTGCTTCTCCTGTTTTGCTGGTGAATAAGAAAGATGGAACTTGGAGATTCTGTGTGGATTATAGAAGGTTGAATGACCTGACAATCAAAAGTAAATTTCCATTGCCTGTGATTGATGAGTTATTGGATGAATTAGGAGGCTCCAAGTGGTTTTCCAAGTTAGACCTTAGAGCTGGGTATCACCAGATCAAGATGAAAGAGGAAGATGAGCACAAAACTGCATTTAAAACTCACCATGGCCAGTTTCAGTTCAAAGTTGTTCCATTTGGATTGGCCACTGCTCCTGGCACATTTCAATGTGTAATGAACTTTGTGTTTGCAGGACCAAACAGGAAGTTTGTCTTGGTGTTTATGGATGATATTCTGGTGTTCAGTCAGACTTTTCAGGAACATTTAGAGCAGTTATAGACTGTGTTTGATCTTCTGAAAGAGCACCAGTTCTACGTGAAGGAAAGTAAGTGTGCTTTTGCACAACAATCTATGGAATATCTGGGTCACATTATTTCTGATCAAGGAGTGGCCACTGACCCAGCTAAAACAGAAGCTATAGTGAATTGGCCTGTTCCCATATCAGTCACTGAATTGAGGGGATTTTTGGGATTAACAGGTTATTACAGAAAATTTGTTCAGCACTATGGTCTGCTTGCCAAACCCCTGACTGCTTTGCTGAAGAAACAAGCTTTTGTGTGGTCTGAATCTGCTCAGCAGGCTTTCCAAATGTTGAAGAGAGCTATGGCAACTACTCCAGTACTTACCCTTCCTGATTTCAACAAGACATTTACATTAGAGACAGATGCTTGCAACACTGGAGTGGGAGCTGTACTTACTCAGGAGGGTCACCCTGTGGCTTATTACAGTAAAGCATTGGGAGTGGCCAGTCAAAAATCTTCAATCTATGAAAAAGAGTTCCTAGCTATTATGATGGCAGTGGATAGGTGGAGATCATATCTGTCTAGAGCACCGTTTGTTATGAAAACGGATCATCAGAGCTTATGTCATTTGGGGGACCAAAATATGACCTCATATCTTCAGAGAAAAGCAATGACAAAGTTGGTGGGGCTTCAGTTCAGCATACAATACAAAAAAGGGGTGGAAAATACTGTAGCAGATGCTTTGTCGAGGGTGGCTCATCTGTTTGTTGCATAGGCAGTATCCACCAGCAAACCTGTGTGGATTCAGGAAATCCTCAATTCATATACTGTAGACCCTAATGCTCAACTTATGCTACAAAAGTTAGCAGTGGACAGCAAGGCTTGTCCTGGTTTTCAGTTACAGGAAGGCCTCATCAAGCAAGAAGGGAAAATCTGGGTGGGAGCAAATACAGGCTTGCAGACCAAGTTAATACAGGCCTTCCACTCTAGTCCCAAAGGTGGTCACTCTGGTATCTTACCAACTTATCACAAAGTAAAACAATTGTTTAGCTGGCAAGGTATGAAAGCAGATGTGGAAAGTTTTGTCAAGCAATGCAGTGTGTGTCAGCAAGCTAAGCATGAACTGTGTAAAAGCCCTGGTATGTTGCAACCACTTCCTATACCTGACAGTCCTTGGCAATCAATTAGTATGGACTTTATTGAAGGATTACCCAAATCTGATGGATATAATGCAATTTTGGTTGTGGTGGATCGACTGACCAAAGTGAGTCATTTTCTTCCCTTGAAACATCCATTCACTGCTACTTCTGTTGCTAGAGTCTTTCTCAATACCATTGTCAAGCTGCATGGGTTACCACTGGTTATTATATCAGACAGAGATAAGATATTCATGAGTGCCTTTTGGAAAGAGCTGTTCAGAGTATGGGGTACATAATTGCACATGAGCACAGCTTATCATCCCCAAACGGATGGGCAGACAGAGCGTGTTAATCATTGCCTGGAAATGTATTTACGCTGTGCTGTGAATGAGTTTCCTGCTAAGTGGTCCACTTGGTTATCTCAAGCTGAGTTTTGGTACAACACAACGTACCATTCTTCCCTGGGCTGTACTCCTTACAAAGCTCTATATGGCCATGATCAGAACATTGGACAGTTGTTGGGACACAGCTCATCGCTCAATAAAGATGTGCAAACCTGGTTGACTGAACATCAGCATCATACTGCAGCATTGAGAGACCATTTGGCTCGCGCTCAGTGCAAGTACAAACAGTTCGCTGATAGGAAAAGATCAGAGCGTGTGTTTGCTGTTGGAGAGATGGTTTATTTGCGTCTCCAGCCATATACGCAGTCTACAGTGGTCAACAAGCCGTGTCCCAAACTTGCACTCAAGTATTTGGGCCATACAAAGTGCTGGACAAAATTGGAGAAGCAGCTTATCGACTTGAGTTACCCAGAGGCTGTCAGGTACACCCAGTTTTTCATGTATCCCATCTCAAAGGGCATGTTCCTGATCGTACCCCCATCTTCGTCAATTTGCCCAAGCCGTTGGATCTGTCTCTACCGGGTATAATTCCAGAAGCAGTGCTCGATCGGCGACTGGTGAAAAAAGGGAACAACTCTCACTTGCAAGTGTTGATAAAATGGGCTACAATACCACCGTCTTCAGCTACCTGGGAAGATTATGACGTGCTCAAGGCGCGTTATCCAGCGGCACCAGCTTGGGGACAAGCTGGTTCTTCAGGGGCGGGTACTGTAAGTACTGCAGTGCTTACGATGGACGTCAACCAAGGGAGAAGGCGCAAACAGGTGATGAAGAAGGCGTAACCAAGGCGCGGGAGAGTTTAAATGAGTGGAGAGGAATTTGGGCTTTAGGCCTTGTAATAGTTTGGGCCATGGGCCTTGTAATGAGAGAGCTGGACTGGTGGATATAAACCAGCCAGGTAGCGTGTTGGAAAGGCATCGAAAATGAAATAGATCATTATCCGAGCCACTGGCTCTTCTCTTCCCTTCCTCGCTGTCTCTTCCTCCTCTCCGGCGAATTCAAATTCTCCCTTACCTGAGCCCCTCTTCCACTTGCCGGCGACGAACCCGTTCGATCCCTAGGTTGTGACAGGTTCCCAACCATGGCTACGGGCTGCTTCTCCCTTATCATCCTGTGATCCTCCTCCTCCACTTCAGGTGTCCGGCCGTGCCTGAGGGCCGCCTCTCCCCTATCCATCCTTCCAATCTAGAGCACAGGTGAAGAGTCTGGTTGTGTGCGGCAGGGTTGGCGCCCCGTGTCTGCGCCCCATAAGCTTGGACGGAGCTCCGACGCGGCCATGTTGGCCTTGCAGATGAGCTCCAAATGTGGCCAATCCTCTGAAGATTCAATGGAATCTGATGTTAATGCCTGCAGGCTGCAGTTGTTGATCACTCAGAGGTATCAAAATTTGTACACTGTATAATGTTCCTTTGCTCTGTACTTTGAACACAATGCCTCCAAACGAAATTGCAAGGGCACTTATATTTTTCCTCATCAATTACTATAGACCCAAAGTGGTCGGACCCTTCCCTGGACCCTGCGCAAGCGGGAGCTACATGCACCAGGTTGCCCTTAATTTAGAATCACATAATGCATGCATATCTGCATTTGTCCCTCTTATCTTTCAGTGTATTGGTGCCAATGCTGCATTTGGAGTTGGAGAGGCCGAGGCCACCTGCTGCAAGAGGCAAATGGTCAACTACAGCCGCAAGTTACTCTCTGCGTACTTACTGCCTTCGACTTTGGTATCCTGATGATCTACTCGAATTTATGACTCTTAATCCATGTGCACAACATGAGTTTGTTTTATTTTCCTTGGTTGCCTTTTGTGTCTGATTTTCCTCACTGAAGTGGGTCATTTTATTTCTTCACAAATGTTGGCCAACCAACCTAATCCTCCAACTCGTGAATGCACGGCCATCAAGCAAACTAGCGCACGCTTTTAACTGAAGCAAAGTCACTCCGTAATGTGCCCAGAAATTAGACAATGGATGAAAGTTCACAACTCACTAGCTCAAGAAGCATAAAACATATATCAGTTTTTAGGCCACTACTTAATTTTGAAGGTTCATTTATTCTAATAAGACAAATATGCAAACTTTTTCCTAAATTGTGAGCATTTGACATAGGTTACTATTATTGTTAAACTGAAATAGCGAGTATTTGTTGCTTTTTATTAGGAAAGTGAAAAAGAAGTGCATCGATGTTGAACCTATTCTTGTGGTAGGGACAACTTTTTTTATTTACTCACAAGTGGAATTCGGATATTTTGTGGATCAAACCTGCCAGGAAGTGAATTCAATCATGATTTTGAAAGTATTCAAGCATTTTTTTAAGTGCATGTGATTTAAAAAGTGTTCACACCTTTTAAAATAATATCCATGCATTTTAAAAAATAAATATACAATTTAAAAGCGAGTGGGGGAACGACACTTTTTGGATTAATTAACGAATCAATCTCACAATGGTGGATGCTTGATGCAGGAGAGGATCACAGGTGTTCTGCCGGCAGTTTCAATTTAGTCAGGCGGTTGCCATCATCGTGAGACTGCCGACTGGAGGAACTACAATGGCTCTTTGTTCCAGCCATATCCGATCCCCTGGGCTGGAGCTTTCCGGTCACCTGAAGAGCATGGTGCATGGGGCGTGCCGTTGGCGTCTGCCTGGATGGGGACACGGGCCACCTGTATGTGCTTGTTGTCACACTCCTGGAACCACTCAAGCAGCTCCTGCCCGTGCGGCCATGCATGACGGCATCATAACAATATCGTTATCAGTGTGCACGCTAATGTGGCGTGTTAGCCCCTTTGCTACGCTATGATTGACTAATGGTTAGATGGTTGATGTTGCAGTCTGATGAGGTCTCGGGCATGGTTTATTAGTCGCTGTATAGTCGCCGACTAATCGCCAAGTCGTTTTCCAAAAATCAGGGTACAGCGACTTATGGCGACTATACAGCGACTTTCGTCGACTATACGCTGAGCCGCAGGGCTCGCGGCGACTCGCCAAGTCGCGACTCAAAAACCTTGGTCTCGGGGGTGTGGCTTCTACTGAATTTTCGACACCACCAACTCCTGGTGAGTTTTCTCCCCTTAGTCATAATAAAGGGAGTGAGAAGGTCGGAATGGAGAAGAAGAAAAAACCTTGCTGTCGGAGATTACATCCACACCATTTTTTTGTGTTGGAGTGATTGAACCATGGCAATCAGCGCTCACATAAAAACCTTGCTGTTGGAGATTACATCCACACCATTTTGTGTGTGTTGGAGGGATTGAACCATGGCTATCAGCGCTCATACTGCATCTCCTTCCTCACACACTTTTTGGATAGTTGTATTCCATTCTGTACACCAAGAGAATATGTTATTTTCCTTTTACAAAACTAAACTATGTGTGACGTTGCTGTTTACCGGAGCAGTTATAGTTGAGTAGTACATCGTTATCATTCTCAACAACTTCAGGCATACACCTTTGATAATCATGTATGAGAACTTTGAGAAATTGAGTTACTTTATTGGAATTTATGTTGTTCAGGAGGGGAGGCGGGACGGACGGCAGCGGCATTCTATTCGGGGTTGCGTCGATCTGGTGATGCTGGAGCATACAGGAAACATCACCTCCACCACGACCTCCACCACGACATTTCAAGTAGCCAATTTACCTTTCTCCCTAAGGATTTCTTACTCTGATGTCAGTATCATTTGGGCTTGGGGTTTAGATTTTGTTAATATTAAAATCTGAGTACTTACGAGCAAATGAGTTGTTGATTTATTTACTTAGTCAAGTTCATTTCTGCTATACCCTGCAAAAGTAGTTCATTTTTGCTATGTTCTTCCGTCAAGCTTCAGATTCTAGCCTTGAGTAAATGGCAATGATATTCTCCATAACCTACTAATGTCAGAAATCCTGCTACAAGACATGATTTCCAGAATTGTGGTGGATCTGGTTTATATAACATGGTTTGCCAACCGCTATGAGCACTGATTAGTGTGTGGCAGCCGTTTATTAGGATTAGGATGAAGATTTGAGATGTACGTGTAGGTCCAATTTGCAAAATTATGGGTCCGCAGTTAGAAAATCATATGTAGGCAATTTTACGGTTTTCTGAGACCAAGGATTCAAGCATGAATTTGAATATAGTTTCATGGGTTTTTTGCTCACAAGTTTTCTTATATTTACTCCTCTTTCTATGATATTGGAATTTATATGCTTACTTAACTGTTTAAAGATACATGTTTTGTTTATCGATTGGAAGTTGCCACATATAAGCTTGAGTCCATGTGAACTGACACACTGTGTGGAACAAAATAACATAGTACAATTTGGTGGTTAAACTACTCCTTACCCCGGCATTCTAATAATCTGTAATAATGATAGTTGGCATTGGTCATGCAAAATCGCTTGCACGAAATTGATGGCTTGCTGCTGTTGTACTTCATTGCTTCTGTTTATTTTACATTTTTTTATTTACTGCAATTTGCCAAGCAAAAGTACTAGCATAATGGAATATTTGTTTGTGTTGTTTACAGAGTGAACATAGTCTGATGGGACAGCTCCTGAATCAATGTGACATTAGGAAATAACTGTCTTGAAGGAGTTGAAACGAATTGATTATCCTCATGTGTCTTTGCAAGGTGCAACGGAGGTAGTGTAGTTTTGTTTAGCAAAAAATTCCTACTTTAGATAGAAAAATGTATTTCCTTTTACTTATCTCGATACATAATGGCAGCCGTCAGACAAAAGGAAGATGGGGGCACATGAGATGTCCTGACCACTCCTTGGTCCCAAGAATGGGAGTAACAATGTTTCCAAAGTTTTGCTGCTATATTGTACTCGGAAATGTATTCATCAAACTACCTTGTCAACCATTTGCTATTTACTCTCAAACTTCTGATATATTTCTTCGCAGTTGCCTTTTGCCCTCCCCTCCACCCTTTCCGGATAGCTATGTCCCACCATCAGCATTAGAACAAGAGAAAGAGGTAGATGATCTATTGCCACAGAGGCATTGCTTCCTGCAACTGACCATATTATTGATCAATGGCTAGCAAAAATATAGAAATTACAATGAGATTGTACCGTGCATCAAGTAAACTGTGTAATTCGTGAGCTGGGACAATGACGATAGAGAAGAAGACAATGTTGTCTGTTGTGCATGAGATTTGGTACACATTTGACATAAGAGTATATGTACCTTCAAGCCTCATTTTCGCGCCTTGCACGTTGTGTCGTTTTAGTTTTTTTTCTCCCGTTGCAACGCACGAGCATTTTTGCTAGTAGATATAGATAGATATAATTCACATCGTCACACAATCTCCCCATGCCTCTGAACAGAACCTCCCCATGTGGCCACGTCTTCAAACAGAACCTCCCCACGCCTCCACCGCCAGATCACCCTCCCCTGTGCTTCTCCTGCACCGCCGTGCGGGCGTCGGCGCCTTCCCGGCGAGCCGAGCATCATGCACCAAGGAGGGATCCGTATTCCCTTCTCACACGCTGCCGATGCCGCGGAGCCGCGGAGGCGCTGCTATCGCTCGCGATTTGATGTAAGGGTGCCACCTGAGTTTCGCTGCTACTCATCCTCACATTTGCCCCCACCCATCCCATGGTCTCCAGTCGTCAAGCCACCACACTCCTCGCCTCTTGCTGCTGTCGGCACCGCTGTCCTTAATCTCGATCCGATCCCGACGAGGAACCCTGTTGGAAATATGACCAATTTACCGAATGATTTTATTAACAGAAATACTAGATAAAGCATGACTAGTATAGCAGTGATAAAACAAGTCATGCGATTTGACAAAGTGAAGGTAAATAACATCTGCATATATGAGCTAGAACCGATCATCTCTCGAGCAGACAGTAGATCAAGATGCATATATGATGTGGATCCTAACATGTGTAGGGCAAACACTAGAACAAGGAACTGTGGCAGGACCTCTAACAGGAAAAACAGGAACACGTACTGAACAGCAGCCGGAGCAGAGGCACTAGACTTGGGGTCGGTGTCCTCCATGTCGTCGAGGAGGTTGCCGACGTCGGGGAAGTAGTCGTCATCGGGGAAGTAGTCATCGGAGTCCGGGGCGTCCGTGATGAAGAATTCAATAGTCGCGCAGAGCGCTCCCCAAAAACCTTATCACCCTTCTCCCGTACAGGACTCAAAGAGGTGCGGTTTCGGAGGCCTACTGTCCCAACTCGCAGTGCACGCCGCAAGCCGGGATGATGAAGACAGCAGCAGCGCAGAGATTGGAACCGGTGGCGAGAGGAAGGAGAAGTTCTGGTGCGTCTCGCTAAGAGGAGCGACCTCCCTTTTATAGGCGCAAGAGAAGGAGGCGAGAGGGCAGCGCCGGGAGATGAAAGGAATGAGGGAGATGAAACGAACAGACAGCAGCCGAAGGGTGCAGCGTTTGTATTCAATGTCCACTACAGCAAAAAAAATTCAGCTCGCAAGTGACCTTTCGTATACCCATAGTGCGTGGCAAAAATTTAGACATTGGCTCGGCTCATTCCTGCAACCCGCAGCGCGTCGTGAAGAGGCATGGCGTGGCGTGGCGAGGCGGGCGGCGGAGGAGGAGCGCGCGTGGATGTCCCTCTTGTTCTCATGCTCATACAAGTGGGAACGGAGCCTCCCTTATAAAGAGGTCCAACCCCCTCTAAAGTAGCAATGTGGGACTAAACTTTAGTTCCACCTCTTGCCTTGCACGAATGGGCTGCATGGGCCTCTAGGATTTATTAGGAATTTCTGAAATTGCTATTGGGCTAGGCCCAAAATAGACAAAATTCCAGCAATCCCCCACCAGATCCTAGAGGCACACAAAATTTGTCTTTGGTTCCAAAACACTGTTTTATATACTGGTACTGCAGTGGAGACTGTTAAGTTGAAGTTCCACCTAGAACTCTATGCTACACTGGTAAGCAACTTGAATAGTGGACCGGGCCTTGAACTACAAGTTTTCTGCGAATCTAGCTTCACACAAAGCCTTGACCGATACGTGGCTCCCGTGGGTCTTCCCCGTGGGTGGAGCTTATGCGTCATACTCCGAGACCTTTCATGAGTTTACTAGAGAGAACCCTACTCTCACAGATTGCGACGTTTAACAATCAGACTCATATAGGTGCGTTCTTCAAAAGATGTTCTGCAGGACAACATCTCTGCTTCAAAGAGCCACTTAGAACACATTAAGATATACATCAACCTGCCATGCAGATTAGGAGAGTATTGCATCTTCATGGAGTGGTATTTTTTAATAGTAAGGATACTCTCCTCCCAGTTGACCAACAACTTGTCTTCCACATCTAATTCACGGGATCTCCGATCACAAAGAATAGGTTACCACTGTGAACAACTCATATTGTGGGTCTCATACCCATCTCCCTCGATGCATTATCTATCACATTACGTGATAGACCCTTAATAAAAGGATCTGCCAGATTTTTAGACGTTTGGATATAATCCAATGCAATAACTCCGGAGTTTCTCATTTTCCTGACAGACTTTAGCCTTCTCTGAACGTGTCTTGATGACTTCATGTTATCCTTAGAGCTGTTCACTTTCGTGATCACAGTTTGATTGTCACAGTTCATAAGGATACCCGGTACAGGTTTCTCAACTACCGACAAGTCATTTAAGAGTCGACGAAGCCAATCTTCTTTGACTGTAGCTGTATCTAGTGCTGTGAGTTCTGCTTCCATTGTTGACCTCGTTAAGATGGTCTGCTTGCAAGACTTCCAAGAAACAGCGCCACCTCCATGAGTGAATACATATCCGCTCCTGGACTTTATCTCATCAGCATCTGAGATCCGGTTTGATTCACTATACCCTTCA